TCTCTCTCTCTCTCTCTCTCTCTCTCTCTCTCTCTCTCTCTCTCTCTCTCTTTCTTTCTTTCTTTTTGATGTTTCAAATCTATGGAGATTCTCAATCATCCAGATCGTGGTTGTCCTGAATTACCTTCTTGGTTTTTTTGATCTTGAAAACCAAGGGAAATGTTAAAGATATGTTGAATCCTGCCAATCTTTGGAGGCATCATTCCAATCAACTCTGGGAGCTTTTTAAAGGATTCCAAGCAAAGGGTTGAAATGTATACCTCATTTTGTCTTCAATCTACTATAAGGGGAATACACCATGTGACCTTTTCCTCTCATTTTTGCTCTTCTCCTAGGATGTCACATTTACTTTGTTTCTCTCAGTCTTTACTGCTGTTCTTGGTTTTTTCCAATATGGTTTCTGTATTGGAGTCATCAATGCTCCTCAACAGGCAAGTCAATTTGATTATTTATGTGTGCATTCATAGCATAGCCAGTGGTGGGATTCAAAAATGTTTACTACTGGTTCTGTGGGTGTGGCTTGGTGGACGTGGCAGGAGAAGGAAACTGCAAAATCCCCATTCCCTCCCCACTCCACTAACCTGCTTTCCAGCTCCATTTTCCTGTGAAGGGCAACAAAAGAAGACCCAGCTGATCAGCTGAGACTTGGGAGGCAGAGAGTAGATGGGGGCAGGGCCAGTCAGAGTGGGTATTTGCCAGTTCTCCGAACTACTCAAAATTTCCACTACCGGTTCTCCCTAACTGGTAAGAATCTGCTGAATACCCACCTCTGATCATAGCCCATAATTGGGACTTGGGACACCTTAACTATCTGGATATCTTCAGGAAAGAGATGCTGGGTTGGGGTTCCCCCTTCCCCAAATTAGAATTAGAGTTGGAAAGGACCTTGGAGATCTTCTATTCCAACCCCCTGCTTAGATAGGAAACCCTACACCACTTCAGACAAATGGTTATCCAATCTCTTCTTAAAAACTTCCAGCATTTGCAACTTCTAGAGGAAAGTTGTTCCACTGAACCAGAAAGTGTCACTTTTGCTTACAACTGTCAGGATTCCGGCAGCTACCCCCATTTAAATCATGAGTCTCGAGTCAAACTTCCAAAACTTAAAAAAGGATTTATTGGGAGTTAAATTGTCTGGCAGTACCTGGGTATATCATAATTCATATTCTCCAATGGGACACATCCATAGCCAAGAATCATCAATCATGCTCTCCAATTAGAATTTTGCGCAGCAGAAAATTCAGTCACCTGTGAAAGCATTTATGGAATGCAATTTTGGTTTTGCAAGCTGCTACACTGCTCCCCCCTCCCTTTCTGTTGACAATTCTAAAACTATTTTATGAGTTGACAACAACACTAGGCAAAGCAATATAAAAATGTATGAGCCCTGCTACAGGTAGTCCTCGATTTACGACAGTGAGGGCCATGCACCCCAATTTGACGCTTGAGAAAAATAAGAGGACAAAATACATTCAAGAGCTGCCAATCTCTTTCATCATGTTAGGTGTATTCTAAGCTATTTTTCATGCATGCCTAAAATGTAACAATTAGGGGACCAAATTCAGCAGCAAGAGGTGTGAAAACTCCCAATTAGTATAAAACTTGCAAGGTTCTGCATATAACCACAAAGCCGCTTTTCCTGAATGGGTTACCACCATGGGTTAAGATCAGTGGTGGGATTCAAAAAAATTTTACTACTGGTTCTGTGGCGTGGCTTAGTGGGCGTGGCAGAGGAAGGATACTGCAAAATCTCCATTCCCTCCCTACCCCACTAACCTGCTTTCCAGCTCTGTTCTCCTATGCAAGGCAACAAAAGAAGACCCAGCCGATCAGCTGGAACTCGGGAGACCGAGAATAGATGGGGGCAGAGTCAGTCAGAGGGGGTATTTGCCGGTTCTCCAAACTACTCAAAATTTCCGCTACCGGTTCTCCAGAACTGGTCAGAACCTGCTGAATACCACCTCTGGTTGAGGTGTCTGGGGGCGGGGGAAAAGCTATTGAGATAGATAACACTCAGATATATTTCTTGTACTAATTTTGATCCTCATTGCCAACTCCTAAACACTATTTTCAGTTACGTATTCTTATTAAAATTTATTCGTTTATTTATTACACAAATGTATACAGCTGCTCAACTCTCACACGATGACTCTGGGCAGTATAGTACAGAATAGAATCGTAGGGCTGGAAGGGACCTTGGAGGTCTTCTAGTCTAACCCCCCTTCCTCATGCCTTAACATTCACAGTTAAAATTCACAGTTAAAAACTCACAGTTTAAACTCTCACCCTACAATTATGTTTGAAAGAGACTAAGTGCAGATTTGAAACATATATTGTGACAGATATTCTTTCTTAGTTGTTAAAAGTCCAGAACCCAAAGGTGCTTTTTCAAAAGGCAACTGGACTTTCTTTTCTTTTCTTTTGTTTCACTTCTCATCCTGAGGAAGGTGATGGGCAAATTCAGGTTGTGAAACACACCCGGTCTGAATAAATGTAGTTTATAGGAGTAATGATAAATGACTAACGCCCTTTTGTCAACACAGATCATAATGATGCACTATGCAAAGGTCCTGGACATTGAAACTGCAAAAAATACCACTGGCAGTTTTTTAATTGAAGAAGTATTGAAAGATCCAACGGTCATGATGCTTTGGTCCTTGTCTGTCTCTATGTTTGCTGTTGGCGGGATGATTTCCTCCTTCACCGTTGGCTGGATTGGGGAAAAGATGCCCCGGTGAGAAACATTTTTCCTTGTTGGATTTCATGTCTTGCTAGAAAAATAAAATGGGCATTCTGTGTGAATAAGGAGATGACGAAAATCCGGCCCCCATTGACACATTGCAGAAATTATAATGAGACAATAGCTTGAGGAAATTTAAGGAAGTAAGGCACATGAATGTCTGCCTGCCTGTCTATCTGTCGGTCTGTTGATCTATCCATCTAGGATAGGATAGGATAGGATAGGATAGGATAGGATAGGATAGGATAGGATAGGATAGGATAGGATAGGATAGGATAGGATAGGATAGAAACTTTATTGTCGCTTTGAATATTCACCAGTCGGCATACATTAAAATGAAATTTCATTGCAAAAAGTTTCATTGCAAAAAGCTCTCAAAAAATCGCCACCTCCAATATACACTACATAAACATGAGAAAACAAATAAATGTAAAATTATGCATATAACCACATATATTATATGACATACAGAAAAAACAGTCTGGTTCGGATGTATTAGTTCAGATGTATACATATACATGATGAGAAAAATCAAATTGTGCAAGTTTACCAGCACAGGGAACAAAGTTGTTACAGAATCTGGTAGTCATTCTAGAAATACTTTGAAACCTCTTGTCTGTCTGTCTGTCCACCCATCCATCAATCTATACATCTATCCACTTATCCATCCATCCTTCCATCCATCCATCCATCCATCCATCCAACCAACCAACCAACCAACCAACCAACCAACCATTTATATGACCTGCCACTGGCCATGTGATTCTGGGTATTGAACAATCCTTTAAAAATAATAAGCAATCAAACACAACACATCCTATTTTGGGTGACACAATCACAACTCCAAAAATGGGGTCATCCAGCATCCTGGCCCACAGATTGGAAAGACAAACTAATTCTTCCAGGCTTTGCAGGGTCAAGAACATCCAGACTTCAGTTTCATAAGACAGGCACTGCAATATAATGTAATATCTCAGGGTTGCACTGGTTACTAGTCAGCTTCTGGGTGCAATTCAGGTTGTCATCTTTAAAACACTATATTGTTCAGAGTGTGGATATTTATGGAATAGATATTTCTTTATCTATTCCCAGTGACTTTGGTCCAATAAGATCAAGCAGGATAGAACTTGTTCCAAGATTTCAGGCTGAGAATCTTCTCCAGACATCCTGGAGATGCAAAGGATGGACATGTAGTGTTTAGATTCAAAGAATATTTCCATCCATATATCATTTCCACAAAATAGGTTAACGGCTACTAGTTTGGTTGATGATAATGATGAAGCAGCTTAATGATATATTATATCTCAATAATTATCCTGAGAACAAAGAAAAGAGAAGTCAATTTTCATGTTCTGTTTCTCAGTTTCTCAAAATGTCTGCTTGACCACATAGCATAGACAACTGGGGAATTCTGGGAGTTGAAGTCCACATAGCTTCCAGTAGTCAAGGTTGAGAAACATTGCTTAAAGGATTACTCTGGAGAGGATGCTCCACTGTGGCCCTGCCCATACTGCAAGACATGTGCACAAGGACCCCAAGAACATGTTTTCTCGGCAGTAGCCCCCTCTTTTCACAACAGCATTATCTCCTAAAGTCACCCTAACATTTTTCAGGAAAGTGATAAAAGACTTTCTGTGGGACCTCAGGGTAGGAAGAGTTTCAGTTATGACAGGAACCGGTTTCCACCTCTGATTTTTCAAAGATATATTTTTTTTAAGTCTTGTGTATGGTAAGCCTCCCAGAATTGCAGATGCAGATAGCGCACAGAGATTAGAAATAAAACAATAAAACAATATAAGTGCCACACTGGATAAAATGAATAAAAACAGCAGCTATAATGAGAAAAGAGGAGGATAGAGCAAAAAGCCTACACTGCTACCTCTGGGGATTTATTAGGCCGAGGAGTGAAGTTTGAAGGATGGGGAAGCTGAAGGGTGTCTGTACTTCACCTTTATTAGAATAATCACAGCACTGATACGGCTATCTTTTATCTGGGCTGTGCAAATGTAATAGGACTGGATTGTGATTAAGGGACTGAAGAGGATAGGGCAGTGGTGGCTAACCTTTTTGGGCTTCTGTGCTGAAAACTGCAATGCACACTCACAACCCATGGCCCCTGCGCAATCCCCCCCCCGTCACCCCCTTACCTGCACTGCACGCCTCCCAGCTTATTTTTGGCCCATTTGAGACCTTTTTCAGCCTCCCAGAGGTTCGAAGGAAGCCTCTGCACCCTTTGGAGGCCAAAAAATGGGCCTGTTTTGTCACTTCCGGTATTTCCGGAAATACAGGAAGTGATGAAATGGGCCTGTTTTTCAGCCTCCAAAGGCTGCAGAGGCTTCCCTCAAGCCTCTGGGGGGTTGAAAAAGACCTCAAACGAGCCGAAAATCAACTGGGAGGCACGCACATGCATAGTGAAGGTAAGTTTGGCTGGGGCTCGTGTGCCCGCACAAATGGCTCTGCATGCTATCTGTGGCACGCGTGCCATAGGTTCACCATCATGGGGATAGGGATATATTTACGCAGGATGGCTGCTATAAAGTACAGCACAGCTGAGCTACAAAGACACCGGATGACACTTCTTTTGAGAGGCATAACAGCACATTATCCATCCATGTTTTATTTTCTGGCAGCTGTGTGATGTGAATTCACCACTGATAACTAACAGAGTGGTGGGGGAGTGGAACCCTTCTGTGTTTTGTAAGCCTAGTGAGCTAGTCCTCAATTTATGACTAGTAGCTTTGTGACTGTTCAAAGTTACAATGAATTCTGGGACTATTAATAACTCAGATTCATAGTTCTGAGGGTTAAAACAAAAATCAGAACTCTGATTTTATATATATGTTGAGGGCAGCAAGATTACTTTACACAGAAAAATGGAAGGATATTTTGATTTCTACTATGGATGGATGGCTACAAAAGTTGATTGGAATTGCCAGAGATGGCTAAACTGACTGTTTTGATCAAAGAAAAAGAATATAAGTCCTTTTGTTTCTACTTGGAAACCGCTTCTGGACTTTGTGCCTGAGGTGGAAAAAAAAATGAAATTTTGATTTTGGATTTTACTGATTAGATTGATTTGTTGTTATAGAAATGGCTAGTTTCTACTATTACGGAAAAGTACAAAGTTGAAATTCAATATTAATGCCTTATTCTACTGTATCAAAGGGAGTCAGAAGTCAATACCTTTCCCCCTTCTCTTCCACACTTCTCTCTTCCCTTTCCCCTTCCCTTTGTTTCCTACTTCTTGCTTTTGTATTTTTGTATTTTATACTATAAACTAACAAGAATAACAAACATTTTAAAAAGTTGTGATGGTCACCCCAGCACTGCCATGGTCACACGACCAAACTTTAGGTGTTTGGCAACACACAACCACTAATAATCATTTGCAGCATCCTGTGGTCACATGACTATGTTTTACAATGGTTTTGCCAAAACCCAGCATTTACTTCTGGGTTTTGGCAAAACGTCAAATGGTTCATTTAAAGACCATGCCATTCACTTAATGGCCACCACAGAATGTTAGAGTTTGCAGCATAAATTCACATCCAGAAAACACACAGACTGATTCAACAGGATCATTAATTTCCTTATAAACATATTAATATGAGTAAAGTTTACAATACCATTTGTAGATTTTTTTTTTCAACGTAAGATAAACAAAAACACAAGGAGCAGCAGCTCAGAGCAGATATCAGTTTCAGCAAGCAAGCAAGTTAGTTAGTTTCAGTTTCAATTCTCAACAAAACCCACAGAGCCAAACCACACCCAAGCTGTCAGCTCCCATTAGGTGTCCTGTTGCAATGTTTACTCACTTGCCGACTTTGTTAACCATGTCTCTGCCAGTTAATGAATATACTCTGACACAAAATATATTATAAAATCCAAAATATATACTAACCAAGCCATTTTATGATGGTCACAACTTACAGCGGGGATGGGCAGGCTCCAGTATGGTTGTAAGTCAGGGACTATTCTGTATAGATTTTGGTGTTGTGCAACATTTGAGCCTAACCAATTCCATTAACAACCCCTTATGAAAGGCAAGGAGTAAATCCTGCCTGTAAATTACAGGAGCAGCATCTTTAGATTTAGTTAACACAGAAGTAGTACAGTTTTAACCAAGGTTAGTTAATCTCTTCAATGGAGACTCAGGTTAGCGATAGCTGTGATTATGGGGAAAAAGCCCTGAATTTTGAGAAGGTCTGACAAAAATAGGCTGCCTACCCACCAATGTTCAGCTTTTTATCTACTATGGAGGAGATTTCACTATTTAGATACCAGTAGATCAAGTCATCTTGAATACTGAACTAAAGATCAAGTAATTTAGGATATTAATGTTTTAATATACCTTTATTAATGTTTTTAATATGCCTTTATTATATTAATTGTTTCATATACCTTATATATCCTGCTACTCTAGAGTAAGAGCCATGCTACTGGTGAATGTTTTTGCAGTCTCTGGGAATATATTTTTTGTAGTGGCAAAAAGTGGCCCTTCTCACATCCTGGTAATTATTGGAAGAGTCTTAACAGGTTTGCATGGCGGTAAGTTGAAATAGAGCTTTTCTTCTCAGATTTTTCCTGACACTTCCGTAGTTGTTTGCAAGTGAAAAAAGAACAGGCTGCATTATCAACACTGACTGGGAGCAGTGATTCTCTAGGGTTGAGGCTTTCTCTGTTTATTCTGGGGGTTGAATCAGGGATCTTCTCTTGAGGGAACAGGCATTCCACCATTCGGCTTCTGAAATTAGCATGTAGCATGCCTGAACCTAATGAGAAAGAAAAATCTGAGTGTAAGGAGATGACAGGGAAGCAGGGTCCAGATCTGGCAATCTCAAACAATTGCCAGAACAGTCAGTGGTTGAGAGGATCACAACAGAAACTGACAGCAGCATCTGGTGGAAATCCAATAACCATCTGCTGAGGGGACCTTACAACTAATGCCTGCATTCAATAATAGCAATAGTTCTCAGCCTGTGGTCTATGGACCCCTAGATAGTCACAATGTCATTACAGATGGTCCATGATGCTTGAGGAAATGTTATGACTTAAATCTTGAATTAAGTCTTGGTGATCTGTGGCCATGGTCTGTGACCACAAAGTATATTTAAAGGGTGTCTGTGGTGAAGAAAAGGTTGAGAACCACTGCAATATGCTTATCTGGGCAGATAAAAACCAGACAATTCTACGAAAGAACTAGAAGAGGGTATTGCTTTCTAGCATGGTTCTACATGAGTAGAGCAGCTCAAATGCATCTAGGGATTGTGTTGAAAGAGACAAGGACTTCAGGAAAGCTAGAACCAAGGTGACAATAGTAAGGAGCAATGTAGGCATATGCAATCAAGAAATAGTAAATAAATAATAAAAAAATGGAAAGTGTTCCAGATTTGGCCAGTATCTGAAAACACTTTCTTTCCTATATCAGTGCCATGTTGTGAGAAGCAATATGCTGCTATCAAGAAAACACGTGTAGTTGACCACATGTACTCTTTTAAGAGTATTTGGTTTTCTTTACTGAAACATTCACATTCTTGAAACAGATGGAAGTCCTCAGTTTTTTTTATGTTTATATGTGTTAGATCGGGTACAAAAGAGATGCGAGACCAGTGTACTTCAAGCTCTTTATTTTATGTTAAGATCTGTACAAGATCTTGGAGCCGCGGCAGCCCTTCATATAGGGACTGCTCGCAGCTTGCCAGCCAATGACAGGTCTTTGAATCTCCCGCGATCGGCTCGGCCAATCACGGTTGATTCTTAGCGAACCAATCACTGCCATTCAGTAGACCAATCGAATTGCTGTCAGTGTGGACCAATAGGAATTCAGTCTTTGGAGTATGTTAATACAGAACAATATGATTTATATTTTTTGAAATATGATTTTCTACCACGTTTTAAAGGAGTTCTTAAGATAGCAAGGAAAAAGATTGTTTTGATGAGTTAAGAGGCTATAAGTGCCCTTGTTTGTCTGTATTTGCCCAGGTCTCTCATCTGGACTTGCTCCATTGTATATTGGAGAAATAGCTCCAACCGCTCTCCGTGGAGCTCTGGGCACCCTGAATCAGCTGGCTGTTGTTATAGGTATTCTTATCAGCCAGGTAGGTAAGACTGCAGGGAGGACTTGGTGGCCATGTAACTAAGTTGCGCTGTCATGAATCTTCATCTGTACTTTAGTTAAAAATGAATTGCTAGTTTCTTGATCTGATTATTGCTTTCATTTATTTATGAAGCATATTTATACATCAAGATTCCGGGGGGAAAATACATTTTTAAAATATCTGAAAGCAAACAGTTTCTGTTGTTTTAATTATCATAACTATTTAAATACTCCTAGCAACCAGCAAGTCATCAGGTACCAGTTGCATGTGATGAACAATAGATAATATTTCTCAGTCTATATTCATCCTAGGAAAATATAGGGACTTCCTGAACATCGTAGGGGCCTTGGTGCTCTCTGAATTTTTAAACTGTCCTTCAGTTTGGAGCAGTATGGCCCAAAGCTGGTCTGTGTGAATCAAATATGTCAGTGCAATTGCACAATGATTGAAAGTGTCTATGTGTCACCGTACCTGTGTGCCTGTCTACCTGTATATACCCAATATGTTTATTGAGATTCTCAGTCATCCTGGTCATGGTTGTCCCAAAGGCAGGAGGCAACTGGACTTTCTTGTTTTTTTCTTTGAAGACATTTCGCTTATCATCCAAGAAGCTTCTTCAGCTCTGGCAGGATAGCGGGGAATGGAAGGATTTATATTGCTTGACCAGCTGTCTGCAAGTAACAAGCAAAACATCTTCAAAGGAAAAAATGAGAAAGTTCAGATGCCTCCTGAAAAAGCACCTTTGGGATATCCAATATGTACCTTATCTATGTGTACATATGTATCTATGCTGTCTGAAGCAGGAGATGATTAAGTGAATATGGTGGGACTTAAAAGACTCAGGTCTTATTAGTATTTAAATAGGAGCTCATCAGAAAACCCAGGATAAAAGGGTAGAATAGAAAATAGAATAGTCCAAAAACGTGCCATGACCATGAAGTTACGAGGACTTGCGTTCAACTCAAGGGAGTCAGTCTCTAGTTCAATTCCCTAAAGATAAAGCAGCAGAGCATATTAAGTTCATTAGGATTGCTATAAGCTAGCCCATGAGGACAACTACTATGAACATGGACAACTTGCAACCTTTGGCCTCATTACAAAACACTGTTCCTTTGCTTCTTGGTGCAGACAAAAAACAGCAAAACATCTCAAAATCAAACAGCACAACAAACAGAAAGGTGGGTGTTGGAGAGGAACCAAAACTGTGTCAAAAAGATCCCATCAACTACTTTGGTTTGTGGTGATCCCATCCTCACATGCTTTAGACCAGCTAGCTGGAGAATTCTGGAAGTTGAAGTCCACAAGTCTTAAAGTTGCCAAGTTTGAAGACCTCTGCTTTAGACTCCTGAATGCAGTGCCTGAAACATACATATGAGATACTTCTTTCCTGCATAAGAAGAAGGTTGTCTACTCTTGCTGTACAGCAGTGTTTCTCAATCTTGGTCATTTTAAGATGGGTGGATGTCAACTCCTACAATTCCCCAGCCAGCATGTGAGTTAAAGTCCACCCATGTTAAAATGGCCAAGGTTGAAAAATGCTTCTCTAGACATTGAAGCAACAAAGCTCAAATATATGTTGTAAGCTACCTGGAGTCCAGTGGGATTGAGGCAATTTATGAACAAACAACTAACAAGCACATGAAAAGATAGTTATAGCATATCCTGGGGTGAAGAATGCATTCATTTGTTTTTGTCTTTTTTTAAATAAACTTGTATGCTGCCCAAATTCCAGTAACTCTGGGCAGCATATGTGTTTGCCTTTGAAACAAAAAGGGCATCATAAATGCATGTTTAATAATTGAGACCATCATCTACATCAAGGGTCTTCAAACTTGGCAAGTTTAAGACTTGTGGACTTCAACTCCCAGAATTCCTGAGCTAACATGACTGGAGGAGGAATTCTGGGAGTTGAAGTCCACAAGTCTTAAAGCTGTCAAATTTGAAGATCCCTGATCTAGATTCCTGAAGCTCAAGAAGACATAATCTTTTGTTCAGTTTTCTCCATAACAACAATGTGAGGTATGTGAGACTGAGAGATAGTATCCAACACAAAATCATCCAGTTTCCATGACTATTGCGGATTTGAATCCCAACCGCAGTCAAATACAACTACTGTACCACACTAGCTCTTGTATTGCTGGCATCATCATCAGAAGAAAACAATTGCATCTGGATTCCATTCATACTAAAATGAACCGTAAGAAGTGCCCTTAGGAAAGAATGTTATTGATGTCACCACTTCACATACTCAGCAAGGTTTTTATTTAAATTGATTTATATCGTTCTATATTTTCTCCAGGTTCTTGGACTGGATATCTTTTTCGGCACGTCAAAAACGTGGCCATTACTTCTGTCCCTGTCAGGTGGTGCTGCTGTCTTACAGATTTTTCTGCTCCTAATTTGTCCAGAAAGTCCTAGATACATGTACATAAAATGTGGCAATGTTGAAGGAGCCCAAAAAAGTAAGAAGACTTCTTCCAATTGCTTGAAAATCATGTTGAAAAATGCTGGCCTCCTACAAAAAGAGGAACTTACTTTGGATGAGGATAGTAATATCTTTGACTTTAATTAGTTTCACTCTAAAGCAGGGTTGTCAAACTCAATTTCATTGAGGGCCACATTGTGTTTGACCTTGCGGGGGGCTGGGGTAGGTGTGGCCAGGGTCGGTGTGGCCAGATTGATGTCACTTGTGTTGGAGGGGGCACTTATAGCCAGAGCGCTCTGCTAGCGAAAAAGGGCTCCCAAGCTCTGTTTTTGGCTGTTACAGCCTCCTGCAAACCTCTGCTTGCAAAAATGGATTTTGAGGGAGCCACAGTGGCCCCCCTGAGCTCTGTTTTTGCTGCCAGAGGTACTGCGGGCCGGATCTTCACTGTTTCCATGGTGACCTCACAGGCCAGATTTAAGCACCCTGTGGACTGGATCCAGCCCATGGGGGACACCCCCGCTCTAAAGGCTTTTGTTTAGCTCCTAAGATCACTGCTCTCTTATAATCCCTTCTCCTATAAATGTAAACAGAAACTTCACAGCTGCAGGATGAGAGGCTATAAGGTTTACCCTTTTACCTGGCTTCCTTGTGAGTGGTTTCCCCAGAGTTTGGGCTCACCTGGCAATTTTTCATCTAGCAATTGCTTTGCTTCAAGATCAAGTTGCTAATCACCCAATGTCATTAAATGAGGGATAGCTGGAGCTCTTTTCCATAAAGAAAGACTTTTAACGTTTTCTTCCTAGATTTACTAAAACTGAGAGGACAAAACTATGATCCCACCAAAGAACTTGAGGAAATGGAGAAAGAGAAAGAAGAATTGTCAAAAGAAAAACCTGTCTCCATTTGGCAGCTGGCTACAACTGAAACCTACCGCCAGCCATTCATAGTGGCCATAGGAGTTCATATTGCTCAACAGTTTTCTGGAATTAATGCTGTGAGTTTTTTGCATTTTCTTTTTTTGCTGATGGATATTAAGACTAAATATGTTTACTTATGTCATTATGTCATTATCTACACATATAGACTGGGTGAAACCAGGCTCAAGAGCAGTAACTGTGAGAGGGATCTTGGAGTCTTAGTGGACAACCAGCTAAATATGAGCCAGCAGTGTGCAGCAGCCGCCAAAAAAGCTAATGCAACCCTAAGTTGCATTAACAGAGAGATACAATCAAGATCAAGGGAGGTACTAATACCACTCTATAAAGCCTTAGTAAGACCACACCTAGAGTACTGCATCTAAATTTGGTCACCACACTATAAAAAAGATGTTAAGGCTGTAGAAAGAGTGCAGAGAAGAGCAACAAAGATGATTAGGGGATCGGAGGCTAAAACATATGAAGAACGGTTACAGGAACTGGGCATGGCTAGTCTAGTAAAGAGAAGGACCAGGGGAGACATGATAGTAGTCTTCCAATTTTTGAGGGGCTGCCACAGAGAGGAAGGGGTCAAGCTATTTTCCAAAGTGCCTGTCGGTCAGGCAAGGAATAATGGATGGAAACTGAACAAGGAGAAATTTAACCTGGAAATAAGGAGAAACTTTCTGACAATGAAAACAATCAACCAACGGAACAGCTTGTCCTCAAAAGTTGCAGGAGCACCATCACTTGAGACTTTCAGGAAGAGATTGGACTCCCATTTGTCAGAAATAGTGTAAGGTCTCCTGCTTGGGCAGGGGGTTGGACTAGATGACCCTTCCAACTCTGATTATCTGTATCTGTATCATTTATACCCACTGATCTAGCAGTGTTATTCAGCTGGGTGGAAGTTCTATGCAATGCAATAATAGAAATGAATATCTGTAGCTCAGGGTTAAACTGTGAAACACTTAATGCTCTCTGAGCTTAGTTGTTGGCTTGCAGACATTTCATTACCTGACTCCGTAACGTCATCAGTGCTCAGTCCAATAATAGATGTCACAAGTGATAATTAAACCATAAGCACTGGGGAAATTGGTTGAAGTCAGCTCCAACATATCAGTAGGATTGTTAATATATTCTGGGAAACATTTCCATTTTTATAAATACAGCTTCTGATTAATATGTGCTATCAGCATCCTGAAATTTCATTTAAGTCAGAGACAAAACTTTCATACATAATCCGGTGAAATAATTTCTTGCTGCTTCTAACAGGTTACTTTTGTCTCCCTTGTTAGATTTTCTACTACTCTACTGATATTTTTAAAAAAGCTCATGTCAAGAAGCCTATTTATGCAACCATAGGAGTCGGCTTTGTGAATATGGTGTTCACCGTTGTTGCTGTAAGTAACAATAGCAATAGCACTTAGGCTTGTAGACTGCACCATAGTGCTTTACAGCCCGAAATGGTTTACAGAGTCAGCATACTGTCTCCAATAATCTAGATCCTCATTTTACTGACATCAGAAAGATGGAAGGCTGAATCAACCTTAAGCCAGTCAGGATTGAACCAACAGTCGGCAGGATTAGCCTGCAATACTGCATTCTAACCACTGCACCACCACGACACTTTTTTCAGTGCCTTCAGTGCCTTTAAAAAGTAAGCACAAATTATGTGTAACAGACTTGATGTGGGTCCAAACTGGTGGCTGAGATGTTGTTTTGTCCAACCATAGTAACTGAATACAGTACTGAGAAAAGTAACTTATAGCTGTTTTTCACACTTACGACCATTGCAGCATCCCCAAGGTCACATGTTCAAAATGCAGATGCTTGGCAAGTGACTCATATTTATGACAGTTGCATGTCCCGGGATCACGTGATCAGCTTTTGTGACCTTCCATTGAGCAGTCAATGGAGAAGCCAGATTCACTTTAACAACCCTGTTACTCACTTAACAATGGCAGTGACTGAACTGAACCACTGTGGCAAGAAAGCTTGTAAAACTCACTTAGCAACAGAAATGTTGGCCTCAATTGTGGCCATAAGTGGAGAACTACCTGTATTTTTTGTCTTATTGTTATAGAATGGATAATGCCATGTTCTGCCACTGGGTGGAGCTATAAAGCTCAACGAAGCCTTTTGTCCCAGGATGAGTCCCATCCGATGAGGTCCTGCATCAGTGTTTCTCAACTTTGGCAACTTGAAGATCCTGCTGGTTGGGGAATTCTGGGAGTTTGAGGTCCACACCTCTTCCAAGTTGTCAAGGTTGAGAAACACTGCCCTAAATCCTTTCAGTCCAGCATTCTGCATCATGCAGTTGCTATCTGGGTACGTGTGGAAACCTCACAAATCTGGATGTCCCAAAGGTGCTTTTTCAAGAGGCAACTGGACTTCCTGTTTTTTCTTTGAAGACCTTTCACTTCTCATCCAAGAAGCTTCTTCAGAGTGGCTAACAATCTGTGAATTGATTTTACATAAGGAAAAAAAGCTGTCACTTTTCCACTTTTTTTTTTCTTCTCCTTTTAAAAGTCCAGACTGTTAGAGGAAGTTGTCAACTAGGCTGATGACATATTCATCCATGGGAATAATGTTGAGCAAGGAAGTACTTGTTTATTATTCAGAGATGCTATTTATGGTGCAATTCAAGTTAGAAGCATAATAGGCAGGCAGATAACAGATTCGGACATGGAGCCTTGTAGCTTAGCTTGTGCTTTGCAGATGCTTTGAGGTTTGGTTCTTATAAAACCCAGACTGCATAAACAGGAACATGAGAAATTTTAGTCAAAATCCTCTGGAGAATACATAATGTGTCTTACCTTGACTACAATTCTGTAATTGCTCTTGGTTTGTTTGTTTGTTTTTATTGTGGTTTAACAACCTTTCTTGGAAATGTTACAATGTGAGACTACCAAGCATAGAAGACATCTTCTTAAGGAATTTAGTATTACAGAAAGGAATGAGACTTGGATCTGAAGAAATCTATTTCGGATTCCATGGAAACGAAAAGGAAATATGAGGGTTTTTTTAAGAAAAAGAATTCACCAGGACGGCTTTGATCATTGTTGCAAAGTTTGAATAAGAAACTGCACTTTCCCCCCTTCTGTTTGGTTAGAATCCTAGTGTTCTATTAATCTTGGTTTTAAATAGCAGTTTTAAAATTTTGTCTTTTGACAACTGTAGTAAATATGCCACGCTGGTTCCAACTGCTGTTTATTTTTCTCTACAAGCTTTTAAATATTATCTGAGCTTTATCAGAAAATCGATGACTGGTAGTCCAGACCAATAGGTAGACATAACCATTTATTTGAACTGTGAGTGCTGAAGTAGCAGGAAAGAGCTGCTACTCAGAAAAAAATGTGCTTAGGTCAGCAATTTGGTAGGCAGGATATCAGCCAAGAGATGATGATATAGGATTACAAAGTCTCCAAGGGGTGAGACATTTTAAGGACAAGACTTTTGTGTTTTATTTCCTTAGAATACGAACCTCAAATGGATGAAAGATATTGTTTATTTATTTATTTATTTTGTCAAGCAATTATAAGATAACAGGTATAAGGATAAACATAGTGAAATGGATACATATGAAATGGAATACATATAAGAAAAATAAAAAAAATAAAAAACAATAGGACAGGGAGGGTAGGCACGTTGGTGCGCTTATGCACGCCCCCTACAGACCTCTTAGGAAAGGGGTGAGGTCAATAGTAGACAGTCTAAGGTTGAAGTTTTTGGGGTTTGGGGAAGAAACCACAGAGTCATACATACATACATACATACATACATACATACATACATACATACGTAATCCTTGATTTACATCAGCAGATTTTTGTTTTTTTATCTCTCTGCAAGAGAAAACCTGCCAGAGATTAGGATTAATATATGGAATTTATAACCACCAGATGGTTTTTAAAGGGAACTGGACATCTTCACGAAGGAGAGGGCTTTCAATTATTATAAAACTCAATGACTGGTTGCTATCTTGGATATGCTGAGGCTGTACTGTGATCTTAAAACACGAGAACCCATTCAAAGACCATTTGTTATCATTCAGATAGGAAAGAAAATTCCCTGGATTGCTAAAAGTGATTTTGCTTAATTTTAAAGCAGTCATAAGCACTGCTTCATCAGAGATGCAAACCAACTTCAAAGCAAGAATAGGTTTGTCAGAGTAGGAACAATAAATAAAATGAAATGCCAACGTTAGTCCCTCATTAATGTATAATGGCTTAAAGGAATAGAATACGGTATTCCCGAGCTAGAGAATTCCAGAGATAGGATCTATACTATAAACAGAAAAGGTCCTCTCCATAGAAAATGGAGGAAAGGAGGAAAACTTAAGTGAGTTCCCCCCTCCCCATTCTTTTAAGGATTGCCTTGTTTTCCAAAGTCTGTTTCCATCCTCTACCTCTATGTATGTGACAAAACAGAAAACAACTCTCTTGACTCATGTCGAAAGTGACTCTTGGCCCACAATCTAGACTGCAGCCTGTTTACACAGCTTCTAAAAATGCTACCTCAAAGCTCTACGATTTGATAAGGGAGAAGATTTTCAACTCTGCTGATCTGTGTGGAAAGCCAGTTTTTGTGATGGACCCAGTGGATTCCATATGCAAAAAGCTTTGATGCTCACAATGTAGCTTAGTTGCATTGCTGAGCTGAAGCTGATTGTTCAATCAACAAAACTTATCTCTTCTTCCTTCCCTCCTAACCCCCTCACCCCAAAAACATTTTTTATTTATTTATTTGTCGAGCATGTATTAGATAACAGATATAAGTATAAACATGATTATTAATACATGAAATGGATAAGAATAAAAGGGAGCATTAGGACAGGGACAGTAGGCACGTTGGTACGCTTATGCACGCCCCTTAAAGACCTCTTAGGAATGGGGTAAGATCAACAATAGACAGTCTAAGTTTAAAGTTTTGGGGGTTTGGGGAAGAAACCACAGAGTCAAGTAGAGTATTCTAGGCATTGACCACTCTGTTGCTGAAATCATATTTCCTGCAATCGAGTATAGTGCGGTTTACCTTGAGTTTGTATCTATGATGTGCCCTTGTGTTTTCACTTTCAGCTTTTCCTGGTGGAGAAAGCAGGGAGACGGATTCTCTTCATGGCTGGTCTGTTAGGCATGATGGTGTGTACCATAACAATGACTCTTGGGCTCGTACTTCAGGTAAGATACCTGTGTCAAGTGTTCAGTTATTAGTTCTGTCAACATCCACTATGTTTGAACATCTAATCTGGCTAGGAGGATGTCACTGCTACTTTGGTAGCGAGCTTTCTGTCATAAAGTGTAAATCATGTTGTGGGTCATTGGCACCTTAATTTACAAACCGCATCCTCCCAGTCAATTCCTTCATCTGCATCAGAATAAGTACATATTCTATTCAGTTCAATTGCCAAAAACAACAACAACCAAAAACCTTGATATTTATTAAGCATCCTTAAACAAGAAAACAATTAACTAGTAAACTAACAGATAGACAAAAGCAGGGAATGATAGAAAAAGAGTTCACAGTATCTTTAAAAAAAATTCATAATAGAGCTGGAAGGGACCTTGGAGGTCTTCTAGTCCAGCCCCTCTGCTCAAGCAGAAGACCCTATACCATTTCAGACAGTCTCTTCTTTAAAACTTCCAGTGATGAAGCACCCACAGGGTCTGAAGGCAAACTGTTCTACTGGTTAATTGATCTCACTGTCAGGAAATTTCGCTTTAATTCCAGGTTGCTTCTCTCTTTGGTCCATTTCCATCCGTTGCTCCCTGTCCTGCCTTCTGGTGCCTCGGAAAATAAATTGACTCCCTCCTTCCCGTGGCAGCCTTCCAAATACTGGAATAGTGCCATCATGCCACCCCTAGTCCCTCTTTCTTCTAGACTAGCCAAAGCCAAATCCGGCAACCGTTTTTTACATGTTTTTGACTCCAGGCCTCCGATCATCTTAGTCGCTCTTCTTTGGACTTTATCCAAAGTCTCAACATCTTTTTTGTAATGTGGTGACCCTTATCTATGTCAAAAGGGATAAAACTTTGCAGAGCCATTGGAAACATTAGTGCAGGTTATTAGCATGGACAACCCAAAGAGGGGTTTTGTTGTTCCAGCAGTGAAATGTTTTATGTATCTAACTGTTCTGTGCCATTACGATCTTCCGTCTCAGGGTTTCTCAGCCACCGACACAGGTACCACTGTGACTGGTGATGCACTGGAATAATTTAAGTGGGGCATGAATCCCTTCTCCAGACAAAGAAGAAGCCAGAAAGAGGATAGTAGAGAAGGAAGAACACAACTGTCAGCATCTAGTTGCATGTGTTGATGTAAAGGGAGCCGAGGATCAGAGTGTGTTTCTTCAGTTGGAAACTGAAATATGTATATATGGAAAAGCTCTCTAGAAAAACACCATCCGAAGTAGAATTGCTGTTCAGTATTGTCCATACGTACAGCTAAGATATTGCAATGGAGATTGGACTGGACAAATGTGCCACCCTCACCATCAACAGGGGGGAAAGTCATATCTGTACCTCTTTCTTCTGGAGAGCTTAAGACAGGGATGTCAAACTCAAGGCCCACGGGATGGGGCTGGCCCGTGGGCTGGCCTGGAAATAGCAAAGGACCGGCCCACATTGCTTCTGCTGGACAAAACAGGATTCAGGGGAGCACACACGATCCCCGCCCATGCCCTATGTTTGGCCTGGACAGCCTTCTGCAGCACTCTGCCAGCCAAAACAGAGTGGGGGGGGCACATGGCCTCCCTGTGCCCTGTTTTGGCTGGCGGGGTTCGTTCCAACTCCACCCTCCATGCACCACCACCCGTCTGACCCATGGGGGAGAACTACAATGCTGATCTGGCCCTCAAAGAAATCCAGTTTGACACCGCTGGTTTAAGAGAAGATGGATGGCATATAGCAGTGTTTCTCAATCTTGCAACTTTAAGAAGGGTGGACTTCAACTCCCAGAATTCCCAGTAGGCTGGGAGTTGAAGTCCACACATCTTAAACTTGCCGAGGTTGAGAAACTCTGGTATATACCATTGTGACACAACTTGAATGCAAACATGAATCTTTTTTGGAAAGTAAATGGAACTGTTTGCAACTGCCTTATTCCAGATCATAATTTGCTTTCTAAATATAACCTGTAACCATGGGATTCCCAGGTGGCTGCCAATCCAAACACCAACCACACTGACATTTAGCATCTTCTGAGTCCAGATAAGGTCAGCTAAATGCTACTGTCCTTTCAGATCTTCTACAAAAGTGGTTGAACCATAGACCTAGCATCTTTCATCCTTGTCCAATGCACCTAGGATGGCTGGAGCTTTTAGCAACATCTGGAAGGCTTGAGAGTCTTCACTCTTTCAAGTAACCTTGCAAGATGCCTGCTATCTTCCATTGAGTAAAATAAAAAATGACTGTTATGTCATTCCATCTAGCCTTTGGCATGGAATCATGGTCCTAGTCTAACTTCTTCCATTCTTGGATTATCTACAGGGAATATAAATCTAATGTGCAGAACATAAAACCCAATAAACATCAGCCAAAATAACAATTAATTAATGAAACCATGACATCTGACCCTGTAAATAAGGTTTGCACAGAGCCACACAGAAACATGAGGGGCATCCAAATTTTTCCATTAACTGTGCCTGTAAGTTGTTGTTAACATGGTTCCATCTGCTTTTGTTTTCAGCCCAATATTGCATGGATGAGCTACGTCAGCCTAGTTTCCGTCTTCCTCTTTGTGTCTTTTTTTGAAATTGGACCAGGACCGATTCCCTGGTTCATTGTTGCAGAGTTATTCAGCCAAGGTCCTCGCCCAGCAGCTGTCGCAATCGCTGGATTTTCCAACTGGGTCACCAATTTCTGCATTGGAATGTTCTTCCCATACCTGGCTGTAAGGAAACTTTGCCATAGTGAATTGTTTTGTGTTGTTTAATATTTAATTATTTAATAGCAGTGATGGGATTCAAAAAAAATTATTCCCGGTTTTGTGGGTCAGGCTTTGTGGGAGTGGCTTTGTGGGAGTGGCAGAGGAAGAATACTGCAAAATCTCCATTCCCACCCCACTCCATGGGAAGGATACTGCAAAATATAGTATTTTAGTATATACTATAGTATATAAAATTATATATTGCAATGTCCTACCTGTCAATGAATACTTCAGTTTCAACCATAACAATACAAGAGCACACAATAGATACAAACTCAAGGTAAACCGCACCAAACTTGATTGCAGGAAATACTACTTTAGCATCCGAGTGGTCAGTGTCTGGAATACTCTACCTGACTCTGTGGTTTCTTCCCCAAACCCCAAAAACTTTAACCTTAGACTGTCTACTATTGACCTCACCCCTGTCCTAAGAGGTCTGTAGGGGGTGTGCATAAGCGCACCAACGTGCCTACCGTCCCTGTCCTATTGTTTCTTTTTATTTTTCTTATATGTATCCATTTCATGTATTCATAACTATGTTTATACTTATGTATGTTATCTTATAATCACTTGACAAAATAAATACAATAAATAAATAAATGAAATCTCTATTCGCACTCCACTTCAGGGGAAGGATACTGTAAAATCTCCATTCCCTCCCCACTCCTGGGAGAAGGTTACTGTAAAATCCCCATCCCCTCCCTACCCCACTAACCTGCTTTCCAGCTCTGTTCTGCTGTGCAGGACAACAAAAGAAGACCCAGCCGATCAGCTGGGACTCGGGAGGCAGAGAATAGATGGGGGCAGGGCCAACCAGAGATAGTATTTTCCGGTTCTCTGAACTACTCAAAATTTCTGGAACTGGTCTTAACCTGCTGAATATCACCTCTGCTTAATAGCAAATTCTGCACTGTATAAATAACTGGAAGATTGTAAGTCGAGGACTATCTGTACTCCTGAAGGGTGGATACATTCTGAAATTGCCAGCCTTAGAAGGCAGGCACCATGGGACATGGCAACAGTCATAACCATGAGTCAGTTGCCAAGCATCTGAATTTTGATCGTGCGACTTTGGCGATGCTGCGATGGTCAGTCATAAGTCATTTTTTTCAGTGCCGTTGTAACTTTGAACAGTTACTAAATGAACTGTTGTAAACCAAGGGCTACCTGTACTCAGTTACTACAGTTGGGCCGTACGTAAATCGTGCTTACTTTACTGGAAAAAAACAAGCTGTGGTGGCACAGTGGTTAGAGTGCAATATTGCAGGCTAATTCTGCCGACTGCCAGTAGTTCAATTCTCACTGGCTTCAGTTTGACTCAGCCTTCCATCCTTCCAAGGTCGGTAAAATGAGGACCCAGATTGTTAAAGTGAAATATGCTGACTTTGTAAACCTCTTAGAGAGGGCTGTCAAAAAAGTACTGTGAAGTGGTATATAAGTGCTATTGCTATTGCTTCCTGAAATCAGGGATGGTATAAATGCCTTCTCTCTTTGTTTCTCGCCCATCACAGAAACTATTGGGCGCCTACGTCTTTCTGGTCTTTGCGGGCCTCCTCGTCCTTTTCGTCTTGTTTATTTACTTGAAAGTGCCAGAAACCAAAGGCAAGTCCTTCGAAGAGATTGCAGAAGAATTCCGCCGTCGAAGCAAGAAAGTTGTCGGAGGACCTACTGAAATGGAGTATTTGGGAGCCAACCAAGAGGCTTAGAAGCATCGTTGCAAGAAGAAGGCTTGGAGTCAACCCAGTAGAAACTCTGGAGAAACAGGTTTAAAAAAAAAACTATAAATGTGTGGAAGGTTAAATCTGTTCTATGACTACTAGTGGATGATTTTGCAGAGCAGTCTCTTTAATTTCTCGGTTCCCTCAGGAACATGTTGTGTTATGGAGTCTCACGAACCTTATGCAAAAGAGGCCAAGGAAGAAACTTATGGGGAGGGCTATTGGATTAATGGGGACCTATATTCCCATTGATCCATTGTACAGGTATTCCTTGACTTACAACCAGAATTGAGCCCCAAATTTCCACTGCTAAGCAAGACTTAGCCTTGCCAAATCTCAGCCTAGAGCCCATTTTATGACCTTTCTTGCCACAGTGGTTCGTTCAGTTGAATCGCTGCCATCGTTAAGTTAGTAACATGGTTGTAAAGCGAATCTGGCTTCCCCGTTGACATTGCTTGGCAGACGGCCGCAAAAGAGGATAACCTAATCCCTCCCCAGGACACTGCAACCCTCATAAAGACGAACCAGTTGCCAAGCGTCTGAATTTTGATCACATGACAATGGGGATGCTGCAGTGGTCAGAAGCGTGGAAAACAGTCATAAGTCTTTTTATAAGAGCTGTTCTAACTTTGAACAGCCACTAAATGAGTTATTGTAAATCAAGGATTACCTGTATTCTCTGGTGTTTGGGCAAAGAAGAAAAAAAAAAGCACAAAACAGAAGTTATTCCTACTCAAGAAAGATATATCTATGTGTGTGTATTTATGCACACATATAAATTTCCAAGAATTAAGGTGTTTTGCCAGTCAGGGAAGTCCACTTTGTTAATATTGGTTTTTGTAGCTTAAGGAAGGTTCAGCAAACATTTATTTCTTTTCAGTCGATGTTAAGTCACTCTGGTCTTTGAAAAGTGAAATGCCATCAGGTCACCATATTCTGCCTCTGCCACATCTTGAGGTCCAGTTGCTGCCAGAGCGATAGTCATTTGGGAGGCGAATACAAGAAGAAAGAAAGCGACTGGATCCAAAAGGGAAATCAGACGATGCATTCACCGTGGCTGTATTCCTCCTTTTTAAAAAAAACCAAAACCAAAACCAAATGAAATCTACTTTGGATATTAGCAGATCGCTTGTCAGTCTTCACTTCCTCTACTGGTAGCCTTGGGTACCTCCAGTGGGAAGGCTGTTTATTAAAAAGCATTTTGTGGCAATTCCATGCTTTCTTCCTTAAACATTTTGTCCTTAAAAAAAGAAAACGGATGGAAGTGGATGGAAAAGTCTATTTTATCGCCACTGCTGCAATATGTCTTATATTTGGAAAGACGATGTGGCCTGGATCTTTTGCAAAATTCTATGCAAAAGTCAGGGCATGATGGTTCTTGCCGTGCACCGACATCTCTTTGCTCATTTCATTTCATGCAATGTGTTTTTTCCCCCACTTCTGCCTGTTTCTGCTGACATGAGTCCTCCTTCCGCCTTAGCATTCCTCATTGGCATACTCGGGGTCCAATGTGGCTTTCAGAAAATACAGATAGTCCTCAACATACGACCGCAACTGAGCCCAACATTTATGTTGCTGAGTGAGATGTTTGTTTGGTGAGTTTTGCCCCATTTGGTGACTTTTCTCGGCACAGTTGCTTCGTGAATCACCGCAGTTGCTCGTAACACAGTTGTTAAGCAAAGCTGGCTTCCCGGCCAACTTTGTTTGTCAGAAGGTCACAAAAAGTGATTGTAGGACACTGTGACCATCATAAGTATAAGTCAGTTGCCAAGTGTTTGAATTTTGATCACGTGACCATGAGGACCATGCTTGCAAGGGTCGTATGCATGAAAAAGTCATAAATCACTTTGTTCGGTGCAATTTGTAACTTTGAACGGTCACTAAACTAAATGCTGTAAGTCGAGGACTATTTAAGAAGCATTTAAATGCCACCTAGAGTTTTTTTATTAGTGAGGTGCGCGGCATATACATTTAGTAAACACATTTTTAAATCTTGCTCAGGAATGTACATAGAAGATGTGTTGAAAACAAAGAAAAGGTTGCACAGAGATAAGAACAGCTGTGCTTTTGAGAATTGAGAAATAAAAAAAAATCAATATTAAAGGGGCTGAAAAAGTGTGGCAAATGAAGTTTGGCTTTGGTTAAAATACAATTTAAAAAACTTATCCTATCAATGCAATGGATATCAGTGTCTGCTTGTGTTGGAGGAGATGCTTCAGAGAGGCAGGGTATATAGATGATGCTTTAGAGATCTCACGGCACTGTCTTTCCTATAATTTTATTATGAAAATGATGGGAACACACTTCTATCGTGTATCTCTTCACTCTTTTCCTTACTTTTCTGTAAAAGTGAATCGTATCATGGAGCAAAGCAAAACTATGTTCCAGGCAGGACTGATGCCACACTTAGACAGCAACATCAAGGGTAGAAACAAGGTGATTATCAACAGTGTTATGGATCTCAAAGGTGCTTTTTCAAAAGGCAACTGGACCGGGTTGTTTTTTAGAGGAGGAGGAGGAGGAGGAGTTTTGCTGAAGGCCATTGGCAAAATGGTGAGGGCTATGGAAGGATTAGTTCTGACAGGATGGTGGAGGGTTGGAAGAATACTATTTATTTGCAGTCATCCTGCAGTCCTTTTGGCAGTTCCAAGAGGAGTCCCTCCTTACACTGGCCCTCTGATCCTGAGGGCATAGCTAAACTCCCAAATGGCCTCAAGAGCTCTCAGGGAAAGTGCTAAGACCAGATTTGAAAAAAGCACCTTTGAGACAATTATGACCTGGATGACTGAAAATCTCCACCGACAGTGTTATGCATGTTTGACAGCCTGCACCGAAGATTTAAACTTTCTTGCATTGCCATTGTCATGAATTCCAATCTTACAGTCAAGATTTCAGAAGGACTAGAGTTCTTTTCTCTATTGGAAAGGCAAAGAGGTTTCTATTTTATTTTTGCACCGCCCCACCCCCAGGCCAGCAAAATATTTGGAAAAGAAAGAGGACCTGGGTATGTCCAATTCCTGTCTCTGGGTTCTAATTCAGGGCATGCATTAATTTTAAAACTGAACAGATTAAACTAATGTTGCTGAGTGTTATCTTCAAGCAAATATTGTCACTTTTTTGAAAGAAAGAAAGAAAGAAAGAAAGAAAGAAAGAAAGAAAGAAAGAAAGAAAGAAAGAAAGAAAGAAAGA